TGTTGACGTATCTTCCGATCGTACCAAACTAACCAAGTAGGCTTGACCTGAAAGTAGTTTGCTCTGGCACAAACGCACGCACACACACACACACACACACACGCGCGCGTAAAAACAAATTGCGTACTTTACCGTTTAGCCTATCGTAAAATCGAATCGCGCCTGACTTGTTGGCTGAATCGTGCTGATAAGCCGTGGCAAACCCCCGGCGCAAGTACTCATCCATTCGGAATAGGCTACGCACGTGTGTTCTCGTCTATTTTGTCTGCTTGTTCGCGTGTATGACCATTCTCCTCACTGACTGTCCTCCCCTCTCCCCTGTACCTTTGCGGAATAATCGCTCTCTCGAGGGCATCTCTGATTCCATTTCAACCTCATTAGCACTGGAATCTGTGTTGCATGTGTGTGTGTAAAACAAGACGGGGGAGGGGGGAGGGAGGAGGAGGAGGAGGCATGAGTATTACTATCATCTACCACCAATTGACCGAATTCCTCCTACTCGTTTTGCCACCGTTTTTATGGATTACAGATGACTTTGTTCCGATTAACCTTAGTTGGCTTCTCCCCTAGTTCCAAAACACTGTTCCCGATCGGGACATAGTAGTTTTGATGTTACCCGGGGGCAAGCGTTTCACAAGTGATGATAAATTTCCCGTCGGCATTAGATCCGCTGTTTTCATTTTCTCTTACTTTCTGCTCAACGTACCTGTGTCGGGGTATGTTCTAGTGTGTGTGTGTGTGTGTTCTCATCCTGCTCCCATATTCTCTTTCATTCCCACTACGATCTGAGTGAATAAACTGTGACGTAAAATCGACTAGTTTGTTGGACGCGTTTATTTTTGTTTCGATGAGAACATTGTGCCAAACGTAGGGTGATTCGTCCACTTTCAATTCCTTACATTAGAGATGTAGTGACTAATTATACAGTCCAATAATAATAATCTCTCGCTTTCGTCTTATTTATTGAATATTCACAGATGAAAAGTACATACCTCGTTTTGCCAAAAGCTTTCCTATTCGCGTTCTATCATCGTCCCATGATCTGCGTAATCTGATCTGCTGATAAAAAATAGAATTATTCCGGTTTTTCTTGCTTCTGGCCCACTTAGTTCACCAGGGACTCTGATGTCTTTAAGCTCACCAGTTTCTCTTTTGTCGTTTCTTCGGTTTCATACTTGTTAATTTGTGATGCTGTCCGAGGGAGTCTGCTTTATCCAACACAGAGTTTTCTTGCCCGTATCCACTTTACTGACTTGATCCTAATCCAATCAGCTGACCGGTATTAGCTTCAACTCCATTGGTTGATGTGCGTCTAGCTCAGCAGTGCTCTGATGAGAAGTGTATGACAAGTTCCAGTTTCTCTTTTGTCGTTTCTTCGGTTTCATACTTGTTAATTTGTGATGCTGTCCGAGGGAGTCTGCTTTATCCAACACAGAGTTTTCTTGCCCGTATCCACTTTACTGACTTGATCCTAATCCAATCAGCTGACCGGTATTAGCTTCAACTCCATTGGTTGATGTGCGTCTAGCTCAGCAGTGCTCTGATGAGAAGTGTATGACAAGTTGAATACCTTTGTCTTATTCATTTTATCGTACCATTATCGCTCACAGTTTGGCCTCAGGCGAGTGTGAAATATAATATAATAATCCTATATATCCTGTAGTCACGCAATGGAAATAAGGCAGCCATCGGAGTAGTGGTGAAAAATTCTCGGGTGTGTTGGTGTCCACGTTTTCACTGGAGAGAACAGAACAAAACAGCCGATTTTTTTATACTTGATAACGCTATTTTTATTGCTCCCTGTGCATTTGTGATGCTCTGTCGAAACTCAAACTGTTATTCCACCCGGTGGAGTGGTGATGGGGATCAGGTCATCATGACGGTCGTCCGGAGGTCCGGATGTTGAAATTTCATCATCACGGTCCATGAATGACCGTAGATCCCGTTCTTCCCGAAAATGGCTTATACAATTCTGTTCTATTACTGAAATTGTACTAGGCACATTTTTATTATCTTCATTCAATTGTTTATGCTGTGTGATTGTGATGAAGATTGTGCATACACTCACATTTTTTTTTTCTAAATCCAATGCGCATGTCATAGTTTTGTACGGTTTGGTTTGTTGGTCTCTAATGCGAACTATTATTTATCCTTGTTGCCTATCGATCATTCTTCCCGATGTGACCATTGTACTTTGTACCGGTACGATTTTTTTTTCCGTTCCCCTCGTGTCCGCATTGACTGATGCCCCGGGGTAAACATGAACAGACAAGTTTCTCTCGTACCAGGTGTCCTCTCTCGCTCTCCCCTGGAGCATGATTTTTTTTTATCCCAACCAAGTTTGGTGTTTTCTGACGTTCCCACTAGTGCAATCGGTTCACCGGGGGAGACAGCAGAATGATACAATGGTACCATACTTCAGTTCTACTTTGTCCCATGCGCCTAAGTGCTTCCCTATGCGTGGGGAAAACCGGTGTTACATTTTATCCTCCGTAATCGCGAGAGAAGCATTAATCAGTAGCTATGATTTGTTTGCGCGTGTGTGCGTGTACACATTTCTAAGGAAGATCTGCTTATCGACTGTCATTTCAAAACACATTTTTTCTGGTACACAATCCGTAATTGACTTCGCCCGGGTTTTCTCAACATTTGTGAAAGAATGTGATCGTTACAGTTCATTCGATGTGTATATCGGCCCAATTCAAGTATTGTCAGTTATATTTGGATCAGTTGGGCCCTAAATGTTTTTGTAACTACTTTCTTAGTGTTTTGTACCAAAGCAAAGGATAATTGTTCTGTGCGATGATGGTTTCCTCACCCCCTCTCAAACTTGGTAAAATTGTGCCATACTTCTCCCCGGGAAGCGTACCCTTGGAGCGCACCCATCCTTTCCGTGCGAACACTATCTCGATCCGGGAGGATTTTATCACTTGTAGAGAAAACACCATGTCTAGAAATGGCCGTGCTTTGTAGAGGACAGAACAGAACAATGAACAATATGAGAGTGGGGAGGGGATAGAAATGTTTCTGTTTGCGTAATGCATGCAATTTTGAATTATTTGTCTTCTCACGGTTCAGATAGCAAACACACTGCAAGACATATCCCATATTCATAACTTGCACCAACGACCATCGAAATGTTTCCGGCCCTAACCTTGAAAGCCTGGGTACCTCGATGCCGACCACATTCGGATACAATTATGTCAACCCTCTACATCACGACATAGATTGATCAGCTGGATGTTTTTTTTCCAGTTTGGTCCAATTTTTGAAAATTAAGCATTTATAGGACGTGCTTAACCACTTTGGATGGTGCAATGAAATCATTTTACTTGGAGAAATGCCATCTGAAGGTAT